ATGCCGGAAGCAATCATGACCAGTGCCTTACTTGTAACGTACCAATGTACAATGAACATGAGTATTTCGACAACACATCTATTTAAAGCCTCAGCAGCAACATAAGCCTTACCGTCAAGAAGGTGAACTCGCGTTCTTCGCACACTGTTGGCAAGGGCAAAGAGAAAGGAATGGATCTAAATCCGAATAAAATCAGCACACGTTTCGTAAATGAAAGGGTGAGCATAAGCAAATGAATCGAAGGAAGCTGGTCAACTCAGAGATCACCTGTCATTGAGTATTCCGTAAAAGGAGGCCTCGACAGCAGAAAAGCTAAATTTAGAAAAAAGATCCTGTCAGCTTTTTCATTTATATTATTAATTTTATTGTATTCCACCTAAAATCTTTTCGTAAATGAAAGAGTCAACACAAGCAAATGAATCAAAGGGAACTGGTCAACTCACCTGTCATTGAGTAATATTCCGTGAAAAGAGGTCTGAGCAGAGCCGAAGCGAAATAAGCCAGGACACGAAATATCCGAAACAGCTCATGCAAGAAGCAGTTCCAAAGAAGGAAGTTCCTCGCGCATGCACATCCGAAAACGGACTGCATGCACTGCGCAACACAATGTCTGCCGTGCACGGGCACAGCACGCGGCTACCACGCGTTAGTAGATCTAATACCGAGCACCTTACGTAGAAACTTACGTAGCCTAAGTGAAGTACCGAGCACCTTACGTAGAAACTTACGTAGCATAGCGGTGTCGTTTTTTCTGCCATGTGAACACAATAATAGAAAAGCTGACAGGATCGCTTTTCTAAATTGTAGCGCATCGCTCATAGTGTCCGATTGAGCCAAGTTTCAGGAATAGCTAATACATCTACAAGTAGGTTAAAACTATGCAAAAACATGGTGAACGTCTTCAACTTTGTTCCTGAGGCTGCAAATATTGACGGTTCCTACAATCATTAAGGCTAGTGTGGGGCAACTTATAAGTGTCTGGTAGTGGAAGAGGGGAGAGCGGCGGCTGCACGTCTGTGGGACTACCCAGTCTGTCCTATAGGCCTATGCGGGTGCTGTGTTGAGCAGGCCAGCGAGCTCCTACTGTCGTGGACATGGAAATCCGGTCGCACGTCTAGCGGCCCCAGGGTGCTGGCCATGCAGCCGTCTGTAAGCAGTCAACACGAGCATGTAAACGAGAGAGCTTGGAAGCTCAGGGCCCTACGCTATGCTTTTTTGCCTTGATGACCTAGACAAAAAAAAAGCATAGGGATGTTAAAAATTCTTTAAAAAATCCTTTTTTTTAAGACATAACCTGGGATTCGAACCCGCACTATCGCACGCCCTGCATGCATCCCCCGATACACTTCGCATACATGTACATACTAATTCTTCCAAGTTGTTTCACATTGTGATCTTGCATTTGAAAGCCCTATTTGAATATGCATTGTGGCCAGCCGTCTTTTGATGGCACGGTACGGTAGGGGATAGGTACGGGACAGGTACGATCGAGGGTAATACGACACCGTCTCCCGTACCGTACCATCAAACACAGCTGGCCACATACAGCTGCCCGCAATATTCAAATAGGGCTTTCAAACGCAAGATAATAACGTGAAGCAACTTGGAAGAATGGGTATGAATGCGAAGTGTATCGGGGGATGCATGCAGGGCGCGCGATAGTGCGGGTTCGAATCCCAGGATATGCCTGAAAAAAAAAGGAGAATTGAAAATTTATAACATCCTATGTTTTTTGCCGTCAGATACGGATAGCGCCAGGCGTGACACAAACAAACACACAAACAAACAAATACCAAATTAAAGCTGTGTGGACCCTGGCTAGTGCCAGCCGTTACTGAAGTAACGTCTTCTGCATAGCTACGGGAATAATTGTAATAATTATGCGCTGCTAGCTGGTCGCATCGGCCGGATCAACGTGCACTGCATGTAACGTTCTGTACGCGCTGAGGGCGCCGGCCCCGGTCAATCGACTGGATTTCCATGTCCACGACAGTACATGTGCACGGTGCGTATAGTACAAATTACGTCTTGGCGCAATGCCAATGGGCTTATGCCCATATCCCTCAACAACGTCATCGGGGAACGTGCAGAAAAAAGCCTCCAGGCTCCCGGCGGCACCTTACATGCATGCAGAGACGTCCCATTCTCTAAGTGATATCAACACCTGCTGTGTCTCAAGCATAAGCGAACGTGTGGATCAAGCATCAAAGGGGAGGTGAATCGATTTTTTTCAAGTAAGGTTCAGATGAAAGACAATTTGATATTGGTTCGAATGACATATCTATCGCTTGCATACGATCAGCCAAACTTGTCAAGTCGCCAATTGTACGCTCACGTTGCCATGGCGACCAGCACAGGGATGGCACACGTTTTGCTTGGCTCAGTGCGGGAGAAGGTCGATCACTGCAGAAACTGGTGATTTTCAATTGGTTTATTGTATCGACGAAGTGAAAGACGGGCTGTTAGTGCTATGGTCGACGCTGCCGCGGGAATGCGTAGAATAAAAAAATAATAGACGCGAGCCATACACATGCCTCCTCACCAACATGGCGGAGCACAGCGATGTAGATGTCATGACCCCGCCGTGTAGATCAGTCTCATGACTGCATCGGCCCTCTCTGCCGCCGTCTGTCCCAAATCCGACATCCTCATTGGCAGCAGTACTACCGTCCAGCCGCACTCCTCCAGCATCAACACCCTCCGCCAGAACGGGCCCAGCACAAACTCGGTGTCCACCTCACGGAACGATAACCACATGGTCATCACCACGGCGACCGGTCGTCCTGGCAACCCAACTGCCGTTGCCTTCTCCAGGCACGCTACGTCGCAGTCTTCCGGCCAGTCGAGCAGCGCGGCGTTGGTCTGCGTGGATACGAGCGCTGCTATAGCAACATGTCCGACGGGCGTGTACACGTGTGTTCTGACCGGCGGGTGAGTCGTGGCCACGTGAGCACACAGGGCAGTGATGACGCGGGTGTACGGGCTCTGCAAGTGCCCCGGAGGCTGATAGATAAGCGGCGAGAGCTCACTGATGAGCGTCCGGAGCTGCGACTTCCAGGCGACCGAGTCGGGCACGATCATCAATACCTGCTCGAGCTCCAGCAGCAGAGACAAGTCGATCTTCTTGCTCGCCACCCAGGGCTCCAGCTTTGCCACGAGTTGAGCAACCGCGACCGGCGGCGGCTTTGCACCCTGCGCGAGGAACGCCCAGACGAGGTGCACGAGCGACATGGGACTGGCCGCCTCATGTGCGAGGGCGCGAGTGTGGTGCACGAGGGCGTCGTGCGCCTCGGCGAACAGCTGCGAGGCAGAGTGCCAGTACTGACTGTACGGGTAGAGGAGAGAGCAGAACGCCGCCAGGCTGTGCACATTGCCGGCACGTACGCACTGCAGGTGGTACGTGCTGAGCGCGGCCAGCAGGGACGGGTCGTTGAGACGCAGGGCCGCCACGGCGCGCGCCGCGCTACACGTCAGCATGAACTCCAGCGCGTTGCCAGGCGGCGACGTGGACGGCAGTACGTCCGCCAGCCGTCGGTAGAACAGACGCGTGCACTCCGTGGACACACGCACACCAAGGTTGGTCATGTGCAGCGCCGAGAAGCAGTCGCGCGCGCTCATCTGCTGCAGGTTTGACGGCTGTCCGGCGAGCACCCGCTCCAGATACTGCGCTAGCGTGGCGCAGTTCCCAGCCGACATCCATTGCACACGCACCAGCCACTTACACGCCGGCCGCCATAGCAACGGATCGTCACTCTGCAGCAGGCCGCTGACGCACACGCTAGTGAGCTGTTCGCCGAGATCCGTCTCGTACTTCTCCACAAACTGATAGAGCTGCGCGGACCACAGCAGCACTGCCACATCGCGAGATACGCTCTCAACGGAGGACGGTTGCGTGGCGGATGCCGTGGCCAGTATGTGCGGGAGCAAATAGGCGACTACGTCTGATTTCGCTTCGGGAGCATGATTATGCGACTGCAGCACAGCCGTGAGCAACGAAAGGCTTTTCTCGTATGTCCACTCGCCCAGCGCGTACTGCAAGATGCGTTCCTTGTCAGCGTTGTCCACAAAGTGCCGCACTTCACGAGAAGACGGAGACGACGACGATGATGACGACGATTGTGACATTGGTGTTGGCGGTGATGACTCGTCTGTGCTCAGCTTTCTACTACCAGTGTTGGCTTTGAGGTCCTGAGCAACATCCGAGCGTGCTCGAACACCAGCATGAATAACTGCTGGAGCAGTGCACATCATGTGCAGAGCACGCACTGAATTGTTTGCCATTCTTGCCATGCCTGGTGTAGCCGCAGCTAAACATGTTGAATGGTGGTGTCCGCAAGTGCGCTGTAGCACTGGGTCGAGGCTGCTCTGAATGCTGCAGCCCTCAGTGCGCCACACTCTACCACAGCATTGTACTGCTGACCACGTACACCCCACTGCACGATAGCAGTGGCCAGACATCATCATTCACACACAGTGATACAGTCCAGCCGTTACTACAAACTGCACTGATATCACGAGGGGACATTATCCGCACGCAGCCTTGCACTCCGTATACACAACACCCCGTCTTGCACGGTCTGGGACTGATGAACTCGAAACGCTGCTGGCATTCTGATGACAGACGTCTGACTGGAGAGCGGCTAGGCCAGTCTTCTCTTGCAGATACTACAGCTCTCCTGGCTACAACTAGTCCACGATATTTAATGCGGCCGCCTCGTTAGTACTTGCATGGCCATCCACAAGGATTCACAGCGCAGTCACTGGCGCGACTGCCTCCTTCACCTTCACCTATTGAAGTTAGTTCGAAATACATCCGACCATCATTATTATTTTCGCGGATTTTTCAAGGTTTTTTTGTCGTGTCGGGCCCGGCCACGCCGGGGCCGCGGGGATATCCCTTTGTCTTTCAAACAACAACACACGATCTACACGTGTTTCTTGATGACAGAGAATTCAAAAAAATATTCTCACTGATCTGGCGACTTCTTGTTATTATTTTGTAGTCCGGCTTTGTAGCTGCTGTTTCGTTGTTTTCAGGTCGATTATTATGTCAAAGGAGACCTCCAATACGTACTCAAACTCACTGGCTTACAAGTCAGATCTACGTACACGCGCGCAGTAGCTATAATAATTATCGATAGCTACAAATGTGCTGTGATGGCGCCGGTGGAAGTCGAGAGCTAGAGAGGACGACGCACATTTCTAATCTTGCTGACGTGGCATCACGAATTTGTGCACTGCATATGAGTGCATGACAAACTGTGTCTCTGTGCAGTCCTTATTGGCTATGACAAAGCGTGAGATCGAAGCGTACTTGATTCACCCTGAAGATATCGGGGCTCTGCACAGGTGTCGAGGGTCACGTGTGATGGACTGCAGATTCTAGACAGTCGTATGTCTTGGCATTGCTCTACACTGCACTGAGCAAGCGAGCAGAGGTGAAAGGAGTTCAAACTACGTTCCCCCGTCGCACACAATTCCTCTCCAGGTGTTTGTGCCCGGAACGAACAACTTGAAAATAAGCGAGTGGCAACTCTGCGTGACGTCAGGCGTTCTCATGGCAGCGGAGGACGGTGCAGACCACTATCAGGAGTTATCGCGCTGCGCGTCGAGCACGTGCGCCCGCTGCGCGCGTTACCAGAGCGTGCGCTCCACTGCCGTACAGCGCTGGCACGAGCTGGACGGCGCGACGGGAGTGAAAACCGAGAGAATGCGCCACGCGGTGGAGACGCTACACGGCATGACGACGACGAAGGTCGCCCGTGGCGACACCCCGGTCACCATGGCGACACGCGGGGAGACGACAGCTTCTGCTGTGCCGGCGGCACACATCGATCGTGCCGCCGCTACGGCCTCTGGTGAGTCCAACGGTGCGGTGCTCACGGATCTGGGAGCGGCGGAAGAGTATGTGTTCTTCGTTCCCGGCCTGCCCATGCAGCCCTGGTATGAGTACAGCGCAGGTGTCGGAGCAGAAGGTATGGACAGCGCCTGTGGTGGTGCTGCTGGTGTTGGTGATGTTAGTCACATGTATAGTCACATTGCCCAGAGCGGTCTGACTGACGATGCAGTGCTGGACGACATTCGCGCCGAGTTCACGACCGCGTGGGACAGCAGTGCGAGCGCGTGGAAGTTCAACACCACGGGCAACGTAAAGCACGGCTGGAAGAGCCTGCCGCTCGTCGATCAGGGCTCCGATCACCGCGGCAACCAGGCGCTCATGCCGCGGACGATGGCGGCCGTTCGTCGCCTCGGCAATGAGGTGCGGATGAGCAGCTGCGCGTTTGGCAACGTGTGCGTGTCGGTACTGGAGCCGGGCGCACACATCCTGGCGCACCGCGGCCCGTGCAACGTGCGCATGCGCTGCCACGTTCCGCTCTTCGCCCCCGACGGGCCGTGGCTGCGGGTGGACAGGTCGCGGCGCGGATGGCACGACACACCGTTCCTGCTGTTTGACGACGCGTACGGCCACGAGGTGAAGCACGACGGGTGCGAGGAGGACGGCGCTCGCGTTGTTCTCCTGGTGGACCTGTGGCATCCGGCACTCACTAGTGATGAGCAGGCATGTCTACGGGCACTGTTTCCGCCTCTCCAGGACAACACTCCGGTTAGTTAGAAGCGGGGAGTAGTAAAACACCGGTCTTTTACTACTCCCTGGTTAGAGCTCCATTGTCATGGTTAGCCACTCTATTCATGCACCTACATGAGCATGACCGTATATACAAAAATAACATTTTTTTAATTTTACCATGCATCGAAATGTTCCCGATACAAGGGCATTCTCTTCAATACGAGTAACCAAGTCGTCAAAATACACTCTTGATTAATTGAGGAGTTTTTTTTTACAGCTGTTGGTGATAGAGCTTTCAGTTGATCCATCCTTTGTTTCTTTTCTGCCAGTATCACTACCAACATTATCTTTTTGAAATTTTTTCTTGCAAGAACAGCTTTCGCCGAAGTGCCTGTACGAATGTGTGCGAATGAAACCGACCTGTTCCTGTTGAAAGGGCATGTCTTGTGAAGGTAGGTGCCCTTGAATTCGAATAGAAACGTATAGGTACGTGCCCTTTTATGCATGTGAAATGCCGTGAATGCAAACTTCCCATTCTTACACGCGTGCACACATACAAACACACAAGCACGCACACACACAAACTCGCACACGCGCACACACACACACACACACACACACACACACGTTGTGCCGGCTTGCCAGACAGCGGATGGCTAGTGAGAAAGGCATGCACCAGGCAATCCACCACAGCCTGCCTACAATTTTATAGCGTAAAATTCCCAAGCAGACAAGTCCGAGTCTTTCAATGTGTCAGCAGACAATCAATACTTCGTCACACAGATGATTGAACTGCAGAAGTACTTCAGTACAATTGTCAAAATGAGAACATTCCACTGTAACCATACATCTTCACGGCACTCTCCAAACGGTCTCTGGGCTACACCGATCACTAAACGGAAAAAAAAGAAAAAAGAAAGAGAAGTATTAAAACGAGAAAAAAACAGCCCCTATCATTACTAAGCATTTCAAGAGCGGAAGAATATACAAGTAGCGTAAAGCAAGCCTATCGCAGGCAACACACCTGGGCACGGGATGCAGCTAGCTGTGACGAGAAGCCAGAAAAAAAGAAGTGTTGACGTCACGTCACGCACAAGAGAAACAGCGTGTCCAAAGTGTCCGCACGTCGGAGGTCAATCATCGCCAGCAACGTTGAGCCTATCCAAACCTGGCAGCACAGATATTTAAAAAAGTTGCTAGGAATATATACTATAGCAGGATACAAGGGGAACATTGCATTGTATGGGATGATTGCATTATAATAATTATTTTTTCAATTTGTGAATCATGATAATCATTGATGGATTTTGTGATATTGCAGATACTCTCTTCAAGCGAACACATCATGAGTTATATAGGTGTACGTGTGTGTGTGTGTGTGTGTGTGTGTGTGTGTGTGTGTGTGTGTGTGTGTGTGTGTGTATTTCTGAGTGTGTATTTCTGAGTGTGTGTGCGTGTGTGTGTGTGTTTGTCTGAGTGTGTGTGCGTGTGTTTGTCTGAGTGTGTGTGTGTGAGTGTGTGTGTGTGTGTATTTCTGAGTGTGTGTGCTTGTGTGTGCGTGTGTTTGTCTGAGTATGTGTGTGTGTGTGTGTGTGAGAGAGAGAGAGATAGAGAGAGAAAGAGAGAAAGAGAGAGATAGAGAGAGACAGACAGATAGAGATAGGCAGACAAAGACAACACGGCCCGAACTTGAATTTAATGTTTGTGTCAACATCTTGCCAGGCATCCGGGCAATAGCAAAAGTTGCCACGCCGGTTATTTTTCCGACCTTGGTGAGGGGAGTGCTGTGGCAAAGCAAATAGAATACGGGGCACATCGCGATGCCATAGTCCTCGACGGCGGCCATGCTTTTCTCCGCGGCACGCCTCACATGTCCCACAGGCTACACGTTTCGTTCCTTGATAACTACGTTTGGCAGGGCCTGGTCGGCGGTGCCCTGCGGCTTGTGCGTGACCACATCCAGCTGCTTGAACATATCCTCACTGCCACCACCAGTGGCAGTATGAGTGGAAATAGGCGCATCGCCACCGTCCAAACTGGAGTCGGTCGGATTAGCTATGGTTGCTTCTCTGTAAAGACGAATTGTCGGCATTTCAATACCCTTGCGGGCCCACACGGGTGCCTCGGAGATTTGCCGATCGTAGAACAATGACGCATGGTAGCACTCTGTGCTGCAGTATCGCCGACGCTGCGTCAGGTCATAGACTTTCTTGTCGGCCAGTGAGATGTGGTAGCGTTGTGATTTGACCTCTTTCAAATCCACGTTACACAGAGGATAGCCGCACACGTGCTGGGCCTCACTGCGCTCCTCAAGCACGTCGGCATAGCGCAGGCGATCTATGTACTTCGCCTTGGTCTTCAGATCCTCTGGCCTGACATTGTCCTCGAGGAACTCCTCCACGACCTTCTGTGCCAGGGATTCGCAGCATCGGCGATACTCGATGATATCCTCGTGTCTCTTGGGCATTTCTCCCCGTGCCGACAGAGCCTTACAGTAATCAACAATGCCAATTCAACTCCTAGCTACTTGCTGACTCTCGAGAACTATCAGACAAGTAGTAGTTAGGCAGATCACATCTCAAGGTCGAGCAACTGAACACAGAAACAGCAAACAAAAAATTAATAAAAAATGTGCACGGCTTCGAAAATCAAACAAATCAAAAATCTTGCTTTCACTCCAGCGAGTCGTGAGTCATGCAAGACTCATGCATGACTCATGTGACATCATGAGTTTCGCAGTGTATGTACACGTTAAAGGGGCACTCCGGCTTCATTTTCGACGCCGAGTTTTCGATGCCAAGACGAAGGTAGGTGAAAGAGAAGACCCCTCGAACAAGAACGAGTCTCCAGAAGCGATCGAGTCGAGCAGGAAGACGACTTTTGAATTTCGGCCGAGCGAGCGCTGATGACGTAATGAGGGATTAGCTTGCCAGTGGAAATGCATCTGCGCACATACATTTCACACACTTTTTGGCCACTTTTCAATCGAAGAAGAGGTTGTTTGCTATGTTCTCCCAACGCCGTGAGCGATCCCGTCTTCTATACCCTTCCAGGTACCCTGAAGGTCCTCCAGAGGAGAATTTATCTCCATCAAAGCGTTGTTGATCCGCTAAATTCGTCTCGAGACATATTCACCCAGTGAGTGCTGATAAATGTAGAATGTTGAATCTGTGATAATTGTCGACGATGGAGAGAGAGGCTGATAGCCGCTGTCGCAGGGAGAGTGAAGCTGCTGGAAGTAACAACAGGGAGCCCATTTGTATCACCTGAACAACCAGACTTCAAAGCAGCTTGGCCAAATCGGAGGGTGCCTCGTTGCTTATCGTGAATATTACACCGACATGAATTACTACAAGTATACTGGTGAGTTTTTATCTTGTTTTGTTCGTATGCTAGTACCCTGGCCTGGAGTTCTCGTTAGCAAATTCCTATTCCCTGGCGTTTTCTAAACATTCCGTGTAGGACTGAATACGTGATCAAGTATTCCGATTTGGGTAGATGTGGAATTTGGACATGTATTTTATTAAAAAAATTATTTTCCAAATAGAGCGTTTGTAGAGAAATGGTTGCCCAAATACAACAAAATTTATTCTGCAGTTCTACAACTAACTTGTACTGAAATCCAGTCGAAGTAAAGATGATTCTTCATGACAGTTGGGGTCAATGAAATCTGATCCAGGCATAACGAATGGTGACGCCTGCCACCCCGAGAACGAATGCCCATTTGGTGGGGGATACCAAAGTACTCGAAAGTAGTGCGTGTTTCAATGTGGCATGAAAGTTTTATATGATCTCTGGTCAATGCAACATACGATAGCCATCATGAATTGCAGGCCTCGAACGCAACTCCGACCCGAATTGGCAGTTCCCTAAGTTAGATGCTTTATAATTCCATGGCCCCAGCTGTAGTTATAGAGGGTTTTTTGCACATTATTCTTATAGTCGATAGGTTTATACTGATGGCCACAAACAACGGCAGTTCAAACTTCACTGATGTGTTCATGAGCTGAGAGATTTCTCTGCACTATTTCTGTTGTGCACACAGGTCTGTCCAATATGCATTGACCGTATTGGGTATGGTACCTGCTCTGAGAAGGGAATCGCTGGAGCCACAGTCCAACTATACATTCAAGAAACAGAGAGGAGCCATCTTTGCAAGCTGATACCTGATGTGTACCGACAGAATTCTCACGAGATAGCTTACAGACTACGCCTGGTGCATACTTCATAGTACTCCTTCGACTACTGTCTAGAATCAAGTCGACTGAAGCAAGTTCAAACAACTCTGGCTTCAAACGAGCCGTCGATTAGACAAACAAAACATTCTCTCATATACTAGAGCACTCTGACAACTTGCTCATGACCTATTCCTAACGATTGCCACCGCTTATAAATATGTAGAGTACTGATTGGAATGTGCTCACAATCTCAACAATCCAGTGCTATAATTATTTGAACTATGTGTTCCTTCCATAAATGTTGTATCCACATATAATCCACAGTGCTGCAAAGTTTCAGAGTTCTCAGGGTATCAAACAAAATTATTTCAAATACAGTGAAATAGTTCGTGGACATTATAGCGTAACTTGTAGTTCCCTGGTCCTTTTCTTTGCTATAAATTCATCCTTTGCTCTCTAGCCAACGGCGAGTCCAACAGTGAAATTGTTAGTTCCTATTTATGTGGGTATGTGGGGGGGGGGGGGGGGGGGTGAACATATTTCTATATAAGGGACCTGCAACTGTAATACCACAGTACAGTAGATAGCAAATATGTAGAAAACAGAAATGCATGTTCCCATCATTGTACATGGACGGGCGCAGCAGGCCGAAGCTATCAGCCAGAACAGGATTTACAATCGCCTAGAGATACTTGAGCTATTCCAGTATTCTCCGTGAGCTGTCCCATTCCACAATGGTTCATGCCACCATTATTTCTGGTAGTATCCATGTGCATAATTCCAAGAACATCTCGGATTCTTCAGCAATTTGTGCCACGGCAAAAGACAACGCTTGACTCGGTCACTGGGGCTGTCAAACTTCGCATCACAAATGAACTTCAATTTCTCATCTGGTTCAAGTATATGTACTGCCATGACTTGACCATGCTTCATCCACAGCTGGGCGAAGATTGTGGCGTTGAATTCCATAGTGCACCTTCTTGCTGCCATGCAGGAATATGTTGAGAGAAGTGAACATATTTTTACTAAAAAAACAACAGCCACTGAAGAGGATAGCATTAGCAATAGCCTTGGGTGAATTTCCTGCAGGTACACGTTGTTGGTAGGACAACTGGTCGGTCTCCATATCGTCAAGTTCAGAAATCACCTGTACTACACATCTTGTAGAAGGGGCTGATCGAAAAATTTTCTGATCATAAAATTCACTAAACTGAGGGCGAGACAAATAGTCAGTACTCCCCGATTCCGTCTAGCTGCTTTGATCAAGTGATGCTAACAAGCTCCCCGTTGTTACTTCCAGCAGCTTCACTTTCCCTGCGACAGCGGCTATCAACCTTTCTGTCCATCGTCGACAATTATCACAGATTCAACATTCTACATTAATTTTGTCAGCACTGCACTGGGTGAATATGTCTCGAGACGAATTTAGCGGATCAACAACGCTTTGATGGAGATAAATTCTCCTCTGGAGGACCTTCAGGGTACCTGGAAGGGTATAGAAGACGGGATCGCTCACGACGTTGAGAGAACATAGAAAACAACCTCCTCTTCGATTGAAAATTGGCCAAAAAGTATGTGAAATGTATGTGCGCAGATGCATTTCCACTGGCAAGCTAATCCCTCATTACGTCATCAGCGCTCGCTCGGCCGAAATTCAAAAGTCGTCTTCCTGCTCGACTCGATCGCTTCTGGAGACTCGTTCTTGTTCGAGGGGTCTTCTCTTTCACCAACCTTCGTCTTGGCATCGAAAACTCGGCGTCGAAAATGAAGCCGGAGTGCCCCTTTAACTATGCACTGGTAGATCTACTGGCAGTGCCAGTCTGGCAGACTGGCACCAGCTCGGTACACACTGGTACAGGGAGGCTGGAGCCCTACACATACATGTACGTAGACCTACGTACATGTACATGTATGTGTAGGGCACCCTGCACTACCGCGTATACCGGTACGTGTTAGGTTCGGTAGACAAGAGACAAGTAGTTTATTGGTTAGAATATACGAAGTAGAAAAACTGACAAGATTCAATCTGTAAACGACAGAGAAGACCTTCAAAGATATGCGTGCGTGCATACACAGTAGAGCTAAAGTTGTACGGCATTACGTCATAACATAACACGCCCCTTCGAAGATAAAATTCCATGGGTGTCAACCGGACACAAAATAACAAACACAGTAACATAATTATTATACTCTCACGCCCCTTCTGAGATAAAACCTGGTTTTGTCTCAACAAAAATAAATAAATAAAGTCATAACAGACGAGATGAAATGACATAGGCATGATGTCAAGATGAGACCAAATGCTACAGACAAACATTGTCACACATATGACTGTCCAGACGTAGATGTAATGGTGAGACGATCAGGTGTCTTGCGAATACGAGTGCTACGACGAACAGGCTGGGTAGCGGCGTCAGTAGGTACACGTACTGATGAAGTTGGGGAAGGGGTATGACTAGCGGAGTCAACACACGGGGGAACATACGGACGGAGAAAGCGGCGATTACGCCAGAGGACACGGCCACTGGGCATCTTGACGAAGTAGTCGCGCCGACTGCCAATTGCTACAATGACGCCACGCATGGACCACAGCTTGGTCTGGTGGTGCTGAACATCAACATGGGTGCCAATCCGTAGAGAATGGAGAGAGCGTGCCGATTTGTCATAATGTGTTTTCGGATCTACAGAGTCCACAGCTTCAGCAGACGCAATCCAGTGTCGATCAAAGCTGGCACGGTGGGCGAACACAAACGACTGGAGGGACTGACCGAACAACACTTGGGCGGGGCTGCTGCCATTAGGGCGGGGAGTATTGCGCCACTCCAACAGGCCGCGTTGGAAGGAGTCTACATCCAGATCTCCATTCCGGGTCGTCTTCTCAATGAGCAGTTTCACTGCTTTCACTGCTGATTCCGCGTGGCCATTGGATTGAGGGTAGTGTGGGGTGGAAAAGCACTGTTCCACACCCCAACGCTCACAGAACTCACGTACACGGGAAGCGGCAAACTGCGGGCCTCCATCAGTGAATATCTTGCGCGGTACGCCAACATCTGCGAACCAACGGCGGAAGTGACAAATGATGTCATGGGAGGTAGCGGTACGGCCAATTCGAGCTACACACGGCCAGCCGGACAGACGGTCAGAATATACCAGGAACTGCCAGCCTTGACAGGAGAAGAGATCTGCGCTGGCATACTCGAATGGAAATGTCGGCTGTGGCTCGCGCATCAATGGCTCCTTCTGCTGCGAACGTTGGAGCTCACGACAGACAGGGCAGGCACGGATCAGGGCTGTAATGTCATCACTCATCCTCGGCCAGTAAACCACTTGACGCGCACGACGCTTGGTACGTTCCAGGCCCTGGTGAGACGAATGCAGGTCAGTCAGTACACGGCGTTGTAGAGACTGGGGCACAACAAGACGAGAGCCACGGAGGACAATGCC